GAGAGAGAGAGAGAGAGAGAGAGAGAGAGAGGGAGAGAGGGAGAGAGAGGGAGAGAGAGAGAGAGGGAGAGAGAGGGAGAGAGAGGGAGAGAGAGAGGGGGGAGAGAGAGAGAGAGAGAGAGAGAGAGAGAGAGAGGGAGAGAGAGAGAGAGAGAGAGAGAGAGAGAGAGAGGGAGGGAGGGGGGGGGAGAGAGAGAGAGGAGAGAGAGAGAGAGAGAGAGAGAGAGAGAGGGAGAGAGAGAGAGAGAGATAGAGAGAGGGGGGGGGGGGGGGGGGGGGTGGGGGAGGGCAGCAGCTGATGAATATTCAGATTTCAGATATCGAATCTAAAATTATATTATCTTCTTAGCGTATCTCATAAATTGGCGAGACTGTCTTTGCTCAAAGGGAGAGAGAGTGAGAGTGAGAGACGAGGACAAAGAGAGACGGAGAAACACAAGAAACACGAATCGTATTTGGAATGTGTGTTACGCTGGGCTGGAAACACTGTTGTACACACACGCTATATAGTAGTGGTCTCCGGCCTACTTTGGCTATGGCTGACTAGGAAACTTTGATCCGAACCAATTGATTGTTTCTACTGCATATTTGTGAATTGGTAAGATCGTACTCTGTGTGTACTCACTAAAGCTGCAACGCAAATCTTGTGTATGCTATTGTTAATGATAATCACACGAGCCCTTGTGATAAGTGCTTGAGTGAGAATAGAAAGGTGTCTAAATCTGTTGCTGTTTCTTCCTGTTTTTTATATATATAAATCAGCCCGCCCCCTTTCTTCGCGAGAAAGGGAATACGAGGGGGGAAGAGGACCAGAACCAAAATTAGCCCTTAAGTGCGATCAGACAAATCAAACGAGGGGAAAGAAGCAAAAAAAAAAAGGATTAGAATCCAAATTAGCATCTTTTTAGCGACATGGAGAATCGTAGGAGCGAGAATGTTGCTCTGTGAGAGGACGGAGAGGTCTAGATCAGAACCACATGAGAAATTGGCAGAATATCGGCTGGCTAGCGGCAGTGGACGTCGGTGATCGATCAATTCCCCCCCCCAACACTCTGATAAGGACAGTTGTCACTGGGTGGTGCCACTTTTAAATTGGACCCCACTGGCTATTTTTCTTTTCAAGTGCGAGAGATGTGGTGGCGGTGATTGTGGTAACTGTGGTGGGGGGAGGGGGGCCTGTGCGCTGGCCACAATGCACCCCCTCCTTCTTCCCCCTCAGCCCCCCAGCCTCTTCTTCAACCAGCCAATTCGTCATATCGCCCTGGGGAGAGAGATGGGGGGGAGGGGGAGAGTTTTCGTGCCATTGTGTGGTCGAGGTGGCAGCATCCATATGAAACTGTTAATGGTGTGTGTTCACATGGCTGACCACTGTGACAAAGGCTGCCCCCCGGGCATTTCTCTCTCTCTCCCTGATGATGGATATGCCGTCCGGAGCCTAGCCTTCTAGCCTAGCCTCCTAGCCTAACCTCCTAGCCCAGCCTCCTAGCCTAGCCTCCTAGCCTAGCCTCCTGCTGCTATTCCTCCTCCAGGAGCATTACGCTCATAACAGTTATAACCACAACATCTAATGGTGGCTTAATAATAGTGGGGAAGATCGTGGTAATGGTAACCAGGATCGTTGAGAAATGGTAGCAGTAATGTTAATTAGAGGGGGCAACACACGTATGGTAATGGCAGCGATATCAAGAGACGCGATAACATGGTTATCCAATAGCGGGATATATTATGCAAACACATAGCCATATACTGTACTAATTCAACTTGCTTCTGACAGCAAAACTGGACGTGATAATTGTGGGGGGTCGTACGTGATAATTGTGGGGGTCGTACGTGATAATTGTGGGGGTCGTACGTGATAATTCTGAGGGTCGTACGTGAAGACTATGTTGTCGTATGTGATAACAAGGGCGTCGTACGTTCAGCCACACACACAACCATCCCGTTCGTACACAAAACGGGACGCGATCACCCTAATTGCGTCATCAAAACGGTATGCCGCCATCAAAGACCTATAAAACGGGAGTTTAGAATTAGAGACGTTCTTCGTGACAACGTACACACACATTATGGCAATAATGGCTCATGGTGTAGAGCAGTCTAAATCAAACTGACATTTTTTGCCATAGAGTACCATTTAGCTTACAATTTGCAAGGAGATTTTAGCTGTCATTTTTTTCCCTCAATGACGCATCAATGCCATTTTGAACTGTTGGATTAGCCAAATATAATTATGATCATTCTAATCTGTATAATACTGAGTCATGTTAAGGCCAAGGAAAGCAGTATCATTACACTGATTAGAAAGTAGACGATTACACTGCGTACTGAGGCTAATTATATATAGCAATATAAAATAGGCTTAAGCAGGCAAACCCAGATAACGGCTCAACGTTATCACAGGAGGCAAGGATAGAGTACATCCCTGGAAACACAAACCGTAACTGTCCCCTATTTTCCGCTTGTTACAACTTGTAATAAAGTTGTTACATCTTGGCTTATAACGTGTTTATGACGCATTAGAACGTTGTTACAACTTGCTATATTGGTTGTTATAATTGGTTAGATGTTAAAATGTGTTCGAACGTTGTAGCAACGTCGTAGTTTCGTTGTGTGTTTGGCGGGATGTGTCGTACCTAATAGCCAGAGTTGCCTAAAAGACCGAATTTTCGTGCAATATTAAATTTGTCTAAAAACCCTCTTATGAAATGATAGTTTTCACTGCATTATATATCATTGCAATTTTATGTTATTTTAGTCAAAACTATAAAATTTGATCAAACCTAACCTACCTAACCTATTCAAACCTATCCTAACCTAACATAACTAACTCAGTAATTCATGTTCCTTTTATAATAAATTGTTATTATTAGAAAATAACCAATCTCGAAAGAAATACTTGAAAATAACGAAAATCATTCAGTCTATTAGGCAAATCGGACCTTGCATACTAGGCTATTAAATGCTAATAATTATATATATATATATATATATATATATATATATATATATATATATATATATATATATATATATATATATCACAAGAGGATCAAGTGACCCGGAAATAAACGATAAATCCAATAACCTTAAAAAGAGTGAGAGATAAGCCATGGGGCGAGGCGTCCCGCTGATAATGTGGCCGTGACAGTGACAAAGCTTCGATTTTACACTCGTGCGTCATGTTCGAATCGCCGGCCCTGTACTGTCGAACGCTCGTAGATCATTTTCGGGATAACAAGACGGGGGGGGGGGGGGGAGGCCTTTCGAACTCCTTTGAACCTTAACTTGAACGCTCAAAAAGTCACACTCGATCCAAGCCAACATTGCAGAAGCAAGCCCATTATTACAACAATGACTGTGGCTTACAACATGTAAGTCACTTAACTCTAAACACGGTACAGAAGTCTGTATTGGGAGTTAAGTGTCCATCTGACCATGTTCGAGGCTGTGACTTGACACGGGCTTCGACCACCTTCAGCCTGTACTGTTAACACTCCCTAAATCACCGTAACCAAAACACCTAACCAAACCTAGACCGAACTATAAAAAAATATATATATATATATATATATATATATATATATATATATATATATATATATATATATATATATATATATATATTTTCATGTCGGAAAGAAATGTTTGTTATACCGTATAAAAAACTCATCCTGTCAGTTGTTTGTCTGCTGAAGGAGTCAAAAACTGCACTAACTTATTTTATTATTAACATCTTTATTGACAAAATTAATTACAATTTTGTCTAATCTGTGGATTTCAATTAAGTCTTATGAAAGTGAGGATAATGCTGGTACAAGTCAAGCACTTGACTTACTGCTCGGGGCTGGAGACGGGTTGAGAAAAGCTGTTCCTCAAGAGAGTGGCCAAGATTTAAACTAAAGTGCGACAGATTCGCGATACCGAAGCTTACTTCCGAACACACCCACTGATAAGTAAGATATCGGTGCTCACACCTATTTAATCGTTGCCTTTTATTCAACACCTCTTTGGTTCTCTTCCTTCCCCCCCCCCCGTCTTCTCTCTCTCTCTCTCTCTCTCTCTCTCTCTCTCTCATGCATTATTATCGTGTATCGATATTCAGGTCTCATATTAACCGAAGAATTTGCGTGTTTCTGCTACTTGAGTGATAAATAAGAAATACGGGGACATTTTGATAGTGCTGTGCGCGCTCTGATAATTCTTCGTCTCAAGACTTTTAGTCTTCGCGTTGTCTTATTGGATGGCAACACGTTGTGTTAGAGAGAAAATTATAATACCGGTTTCAGGGATATGATTTCTATGTATTAGGACTGGACCTTCAAGCTATGGTTGCCTGGACGTGGGAGGCTTCTTGATGGCGTGCGTCAAGGCTAAAATGGACGAGAGTTTTATGCGCTCCACTTGTCATTGTCACGTGCTATGCGTTACTTGTCCGTCACACACACACACACACACACACACACACACACACACACACACACACACACACACAACGTACGTGGGGCCCTCACGGCTGAGTGGACAGCGTTCGGGGGTCGTAGTCTTAAGGGCCCGGGTTCGATTCCCGGACGAGGCTGAAACAAAGGAGTCAGATGTTTCTTTCACCCTGACGCGTCTGTTCACCTAACAGTAAATAGGTACCAAGGAATTAGACAACTGCTACGGACTGATGCTTCCTGGGGATGTGTGCGCGCGCGTTATAAATATATGAAGTAGATATACAAGAGAAAAATGGATTGGTTAGAAAGGCGGGGTCCAAGAGCTAACTGCTCGATACTGCAGACACAAATAGTAAATACACACATTGTTCCCTCCCACCCTACTGTTACTTGACTAAGGGTCAATATGTAAACCACCGCTAATTGGTTTACTCTTGCCTGCTATATATTACGGATTTAGTGGGCTTCTAAGATTAATTAGTTGTCCGTAATATACTTGAATTGAGTTATTGTGTGGGTAATTCGCCCTTGTCCAATATGCTAATGTTGTGTTGGTTGCAGGTGACGGCCCTGGGGAGTGTGCCGACGTGCTGACGTGCGGAGTGTGCCAGAAGGACTTCCTGCTGGCGGACATCCTGCGCTTCATACAGCACAAGGTCCAAAACTGCCAGGCCCCCACCGGGCGCTGTGGCCGCAAAGCCTCCTCGGGTGACCAGGACGCCACGGCCCTTCCCCACGGCAGAGACCACAATGGCGACTTGAGCTCCGATGGTCCTTCCAACCCAGCCAGTCCTGCCACCATCAAGGAGGAAGGGGACGACTACAAGGCCGACGACAAGCGCAAGAGGGACGACGAGGACGACGCCCCGGCTAGGAAAAAGCCCCGGAGCACCCAGGATGCAGAAGCCAACACGACAGATTCCGGTGAGTAAGCTGATGAGTCGTACGCATCTTATAAGGTTGATAAAACCACCTTTTTGTGATTTCTAATGTTGGCACGGCTCGTCTCTTCAGACTTTTGCTAGCTCTCGACGCTAACAACTCCAAAATGTCAAACTCGGGCGACGTCAGACCTTGAGACCTCGCCCTTGTGTGTCTACCACTATTGGCCTCGACTGCTTTATAAGAACAGATATTGCTCGTCAAGCCCACGTTGTGGTGATTGGAATGCCGTTATATATAGATCTCCCATTAGCACAATCGGATTACCTGGAATTGTATAAGAGATATATTGCGTAAAGTCCTCTGATTGCTTGGTGCAGAGTCGAGATCTTCCACTATATCATGACGTAGAGCTCGTGTATTATTCCCATTTCGGGGATTTTCTGCATAAACGCCAAGGCCCCGGCTCAATTCCCGGCTCCCCAAAAACGGCAGGAAGCGTCATAATTCCTCCACGGGTGATCGCTTGCCGTCTTCCATTTCATTAGTGTCATGAGCGTCGGAGTAAATCAGAGGCAGCGCCACCAAAACAAACCCCGTGAGTCCTGGGGTACCCTGGTTCTGGATCATAAGGCTAATTGAGGGTCCGTGTTTGGTCTCGGATCTTCATCTCTCTCTCGCTGGCTCTCGCTCTCTCTCTCTCTCTCCCATATCTCCTCTTCTCTTCTCTTCCTTTACTGCTGCTGGTTTATCAACAAGACCGCCATGACTTCCTCCTCTGTCGTCGCCGACGGCTCCCAGACGATCCTCCCCCTCCTCCAGGGGTGCGACAGAGGGACGGGTCTGAGGGGACCTTCGACGAGCACTTAGCCATCTTGGAGGAGACATCCATCATGTCTGAGAGACAGTAATCCGCCACACTGTCTGCTAGATGTGATATCCTTCATGGAGGGGGGGGGAAGATATCAGTCATTAGATAATGGAAGGTTATGGCTTAGATAACTCATTACGTTGGCTATTTAATGGGCTGCGAAATGCAGATCAACTGTTATGTTGATTACCGACAAGTGACACAAGAATCCCATCGCGAGGAATAACACACACACACACACATACTCGTTTGCCGAATGATCACACGGTAAACTCTATACCATACTACCCCCCTCCCCCTATACCCTCCATCACCCCCCCCCTCCCCCCTCATGAACGATAACACGGAGTTCACCCCGACAGCCGTATTTTCGCCCGTCCCCCGGCGCCTGGCTTCTTTTATTGGCGCCTCTTCCTGTCCATAGCGGGCCGGCGCCAGGGGGGGAAGCCTCGCATTTGTTCCCGGGACCTCGAACGTCCGACCTCGCGCCCGCAACATAACCCGGGGCTCTAATACTACCCCCCCGACGCCCCCAGCCATCAGGAGGAAGGGGTCACGCTCAAACACTGGATTTTCAACTTGTATTTCTCCAAGACAAAATATTATATCTCGAAGAAATGACCGTCATTGAGTGGTGTGTTTGTTTAACATGGATTTACTGATTTGATTATTTTTTTGGTGGGGGGGGGGCCAATACAGGATAATACATTTCGTGTATTTAGCTTTGACGAGTTTGTGGGAAATGGGGAAAAAAAGAACAGTCGTTACAGGAATGATTAAATCTTGTTGTTGGAGTGTAGAAGACGACGACGACAGCCCCCGACGCCGACGACGGCCACGCCGACGCCGCAGGAACAAGTGTCGTGTAGGCGATAATGTATATCCGGAGGGGTCAGCAATGGCCTCTATATAGAGACGAGCGTTGTTGCCCCTATATAACACCGGACATCAGTGGTCCTTACAGGCAGGACAGCAGGATGCCTTTAGCTCTTTATACATAGAGCAGGGCGTGGCTGGTCTTAACATTGAGGCCTTAACCGTGGCTGGTGTTTAAATACAAGAGGTGGACGGCGGTCTGTGTACACACACACACACACACACACACACACACACACACACACACACACACACACACACACACACACACACACACACAAGGGTTACCTTGGGTTATTGTGCAGGGTCGGGCGTGATGGGTTTTACATAGGGTGGGAAGTGGTTGAAATTTCTTCAGGTCGTGATGTGGCTGGCTTGCTTGCTTGCTTGCTTGCTTTCTCTGTTGCTAAGGGTTGGCTGGCTTGCTTGCTTTCTCTGTTGCTAAGGGTTGGCTGGCTTGCTTTCTTGCTTGCTTTCTCTGTTGCTAAGGGTTGGCTGGCTTGCTTGCTTGCTTGCTTTCTCTGTTGCTAAGGGTTGGATGGCTTGCTTGCTTGCTTGCTTTCTCTGTTGCTAAGTGTTGGCTGGCTTGCTTGCTTGCTTTCTCTGTTGCTAAGGGTTGGCAGGCTTGCATGCTTTCTCTGTTGTTAAGGGTTGGCAGGCTTGCATGCTTTCTCTGTTGCTAAGGGTTCGCTCACTTGCTTGCTTGCTTGCTTTCTCTGTTGCAATGGGTGGCTGGCTTGCTTTCCCTGTTGTAGGTGGGTGGGTGTCTTGCGTTCTCTGTTGCTAAGGGTTGGCTGACTTGCTTTTTCTGTTGCAGGGGGTGGCTGGCTTGCTTTCTCTGTTGCAGGGGGTGGCTGGCTTGATTTCTCTGTTGCAGGGGGTGGCTGGCTTGCTTTCTCTGTTGCAGGGGGTGGCTGGCTTGCTTTCTCTGTTGCAGGGGGTGGCTGGCTTGCTTTTCCTGTTGCAGGTGGGTGGGTGGCTGGCTTGCTTGCTTTCTCTGTTGCAGGGGTGGCTGACTTGCTTTCCCCGTTGCAGGGGGGGGGGGGTTGCTGGCTTGCTTGAAAATGGTGGCCGTAATACCAGGTCGGTTGTATCCGCGGACTCGAAAATGGTTGTGTTTACGCGATAACTCTTAACGCTCAGTGTGTTTGTAAATATATGGCTGTTTGGACGTTGTAGTGGTGGTGGTGGTGGTAGCTGTGCCAAAGGAGGCTTGTGGTTGTCAGGAACCGTGGGGAGGTGATAGTGGTTGGTGCTGGTTGAAGCTATATACCTTGGCTGATGGTGGTAGTTAGCTGTGGTGCCAACAGTAAATGGTGGTGTGTGGTTGGTGGTTTGTGTTGTGGTGAATGGCCGAGGTGCCTTGGCCTGCCAAGAGAAAACCCATCTCTTTCCTTCTTACTTATTCCCTCCTCTTTCTAACTCCCTTATCCTTCCGTCCTTTCTCCTTCCCTTTTCCTCTTCCTCTCCTGCCTTTCTCTTGCCCCCCCCCCCGCCCTCTGGTTATTCTATTATCAAGACCACCTGTACTATGTAAAGCTTTACAATGTGTCAATATTATATTCACTATTGGTCTTATTACATAATTATTATTATTTCGTTATCATCTCATTATTTCATCATCAGTTGTCTTCATTATCAGTCATCTTAATCAGCGTCATTATCCTTCTTAATCAGTCATCATCATCGTCATCACCAGACATCTCTATTTCATCTTCATCAGGTATAATGACGAAGCTTATGACAGATGAACATGATAAGTCATCCATCATCATGGTCATCAGCCCTAAAAACTGCATTTGGCGCCGGTCCATCTTACTGTCTGGTTGCCTCTGTCAACCAGCTTTGCTCTCTCTTTGTCCTGGGAACAAAACTGCGTACTCGACTTAGGGCTTTTGGAGCGGGCCTTGACCATCCTGGAGGGCGAAAGCCGCCTCGTCCACTGCGTTGGCGGGAAGGAATAATCACATTTTGCTAGGCTCTTATCCCTTCCGCTGGTAGCATTCTTGTGTTGGCAGGTATACGGGTCGGGAGTACCATCCATTATGCTGTGTATGGTTAACTCAAATTGCCAAATTCGTTCCACCACATAGGCCTATGGGTCATTTTACACTGTGACCGGAATAATAGGTAAACTAAGGGGGGAAGAAATAGCCTAAGCTACTCTATCCCTTTGAGATGTATTTATTGCTTATCTCAAACATACTTGAACTTGAAATAGGTAAACTGGGTACTTTTTTTGTGAGAGATTTACATCAGCGTAAAGGACAATTATCAGTTTATTGTGCGTTTTACTTGCAATACTAGAACCCTAAAAAAAAAACCAGCAGGTAAAGCACATTCTTGGTATTTGTGGTGCAGAAAAACGCCTTCCCTAACCCTGGAGGCGGCTTGTACAGCGGTTATTTCCCCAGCCTTATGTTGGGCCCGGGGACCTTAGGGTGAGGTTATCTTGAGGTTATCTTGAGATGAATTCGGGGCTTTTAGTGTCCCCGCGGCCCGGTCCTCGACCAGGCCTCCACCCCCAGGAAGCAGCCCGTGACAGCTAACACCCAGGTACCTATTTACTGCTAGGTAACAGGGGCATAGGGTGAGAAACTCTGCCCATTGTTTCTCGCCGGCGCCTGGGATCGAGCCCAGGACCACAGGATCACAGTCCAGCCTGCTGTCCGCTCGGCCGACCGGCTCCCTGATTTAAAACCTTAGGGTGAGGAGTGGACCTGCTCGGTCCCTGTGACGAGTGATCCAAGTCTCTTCCCCGCAGAGTCACCTACGGATACCCTATTTTATCGAGATGTGAAGTTCATGCGGCACCCCGCGTCTTCCTGACGTGCTGCTGCTGCCCGCAGTGATTCGGGGACACGTGCCTATTCTATGATGTGATTCGGGCACGTAAACTTCACTTTCTCGCTCTCTTCCTCTCACACGAATATCTTCTCATTCCCATCACATCCTTGACGTCACCTAGCTTCTTCAGTAGCGACTCCGTCATTCCCTCCCTCCCCACTGTCTCAACCCTCAAGCCAGGAATACTGCACGAACCCCGCCTCCTGGCGGCGGTGGTGGTGGGGTGGTCCTGTCCAGGACCTTGGAAGGAGTCCACCAGTGGGTCAGTGGGCTACCTCAACCCCCCCCCTTCCTTCCCCCCCTTCCCCATGATTACCAACACCACACACACCTGCCTCAACCACACCCCCCCCCCCTCTACCACCCCCCCCTCCTCCTACGGCTACCACTTCGTTCATGCAATTTCCGGAGTGAAACAAAGAAATTCGGGCAATAAGGTGGTGCTTTTTTTTTCTTTACTTTTTTCCCTTTTCTTTTCACATTGTTAGATTTTGTGTGTTGCTTGTGGTGCGAGAGGGTTCAGGGTCGCCTGTGGCATTGGGGGGAGGGGGGGGGGTGCTGTACGGTGACTGACACACACACACA